TGAAAGGGCACTGCCCACCCATCACAGGGGCACCAAACAAAAGCCAGGAGCCCTCGGCTTCGACAGGGGTGGGGCACACAGCATCCATGTGGCTTCCAGCTGTCAGCAGTCGCAGCTGTGTGACATGGGCAGGTGGCTCAACCTCTCTGGGACTCTGTTAAGTAACAGGGCTGGGCACGCTCAGGGCCTCTCTGTTTAGGAAAGCTGCACCGGACTCCAGGACTCCGGGCAAGGGAAAATGCACCCTGACTCTGAGCAGCGCCCCTCCCCTCCTCGGCTGAGGCCTCTGCCGTTCTCCCAGATGTATGCAATCGGGCCCTGCTTGGGCCTCCCAGCCGTGGCCGGCCCATCTTTATGCAATATTTCTTCTAGCTTCTCCTGGGGATGGTTGATCCCAGACTTAACGGTTCCTGATACCCCTCCCCAGTGAGTGTCCTGCCTGCCTATGCATTTTGGGTACAGCCTCTGTGACATGTTCCCCTCACCTCCAACCCCCCCAAAGCTGTATTTTTCTCTGGCTGAGATTAGAGCATATTCCTTGTAAAGTATTTTTCTACGTGGGGTTTTCTTAGGGCTCTCGGGAAGCACAACGTGCCAAGGGGCTGCCTTGCAAAGGCCGTTTTGTGGTCTGTTTGGGGCCCACGTGTAAATCTTTGTCCCACCAGGAGTTGCAGTGACTTGCGGGGGATGCTACTGGGATGATTTTTTAAAATAAAATTATTTAAATGCACCTAGAGTAGGGTGTTTGCTTTTTTTATTTTTATTTTTTATCATGGTTTGGCAAGAGCCAGTTTGTGTGTGCATCTCAGGACATCTTACCTAACTTTGATTGATTGATTGATTGATTCATTCATTCATTCATTCACTCAAAAAGTCTGCCATTTGCTACCCATCATGTAGCCCCTGGGCATACAATATGAACAAGACAGACTGAGGTCCATCTGCATTTTCTAGTGGAAGACAAACAATGAACAAGCAAGCAAATCATAAAACTATTTCAGGAGGTATAAAATGCAATGAACACAAACAAAAAATGAGTAATGGGACAGCGTGACTGGGGTGAGGGGCTTTAGCTCAGGGGGTCAGGAAGGGCTTCTCTGAAAAGGTGACATTTGTGATGAGACCTGAGGATGGGAGCCATCCCTGTGGAGACACGGAGGAGCATCCCGGGCAGAGGGCATGGCAAGTGCAAAGGCCCTGAGGTAGGACTGGATTCGGCAGGTTCATCAAAGAGAAGGGAGGCCTGGAAGGGGCTTGGAGACTGGGGTGGAGGCCGCAGGCCTGATTGTGAGGGCTTGGGCAGGGGGTATAGGTTTTATTCTATGTGCAAGGGGAAGCCACTGAGGCAGGTGAGTAGTGGGTCTGCTGTGTGGCACCCCTTTAGCCTGGGTGGAGAAGAAAGGGGTCAGGAGGACAGCTTAGGGGTCTGGCTGCTGCCAAGTCTCCAGAGGGCATCCAGGGCAGGGTTAGCTGGGAGGTTCTAGGGCCCAGAGGGCAGGGCTGGGCCATACTGGGGGACCACAGCTCTGTGTGAGCAGAGGAAGAGATTCTTCCCATCAGCTGTGCAGGATGGGAGTGAGCACCGTCTCAGGAGGTGTGTAAGCAGGGGCAAGACTGAGGCAGGCAGCACCATTCATACAGCACAGCCGTGCACCAGGCTCTGTGCTGAGCTCTCTGCAAGAACTCGTGGACATGCTCCTAACAGACTTCGGAGGTGGGCTCTATTATCATCCCGACATCACAGGTGAGGAAACGCACAGAGAGGTCATATAACTTGCTTAAGGTCACACAGCTAGTAAAGGATGGAGCAGGATTTGAACACAAGCCCCACGGCCAAAACACATGGAGGAGGGAGGGAGGAAGGAGGTCGACGAGGCCATTAGAAAGGCAAGAGACAGCCAGAAAATAGGTGGTGGGTGGTGGTTTATTCTCACTTCATCTATCAGTAATGACTTACTGAGAAAAACTTTGGGAAGTTGGGGAAGAGGACCCAACAGGTTCCCAATTCTTGTCCACTCACAAGGGTGGTGGGGCCACTTGGCTAGAAGGCTGCTCCAAACAGCAACCTGCTCTGTGACCCCACAGAGCCCTAGCTGGGCATTAATAAGGGACTGCACCTAGTCGGGGAGGGAAGGGAGAAGGGCAACTAGGTTAGCCTCTCCCTGCCCTTTCCCCTCCCCACATCCCCTTCCTACACTTTCAGCAGGATAAGTAAGCTGAGGCTGGAAAAGATGGTAAAGAAGCCACAGCACCTCTAATCACGCATGTAGCCTTCATGGAGACTATGGTTTACTCCAGATGGGGAAACTGAGGCTCAGGTGACTGGTGCCAGGCCTCCCAGCTGCTCAGGGCAGGCAGAATCAGTGGAACCAGCCAGAGCAGAGCCAGAAGCCCATGAGCTGGGTGCGAATAGACTCTTTCACGGACTTGCTGTAACCCTTTCCTCTTTGTGAGCCTTGGCCTCAGGATCTCGAACTCTGGATGATCATACGTACCTTTGAGGAGCATCCTGGTGCTGGACTGAAAGCCCTTCATAAACTGAAAAGCACTTGCCAAACATGGGGAAAAACAGCCTCACCAAAACAGAACTCACACGTGTTGGATTTTAAAAAGGAAATGTTTATTTTCATGTTATAAGGTGATTACAAACTCCTCTAAAAAAAAGCAAAGATGAGTTTAAAATATTGATATACATATTTATCTAAAAAGCAAATGAGGGAAAACAGCCCTGCAAAATGCAGGGATTCATATCATAAAACATCTACACACAAAAGCGTGTATACTGCAAGACTGAATCATACACCAAGCATCTTGTTCAAATACAAATATCCTCCTCAGAAAAGTCTCTTGTTGGTTGACTTGTTTTTTATTTTTTTACAAAAGTTTAAAATATCTTAAAAATATTCTGAAGCTTTAAAAAAACGTCCTGATGAGCCAGACATATTTCTGCAAGGAGGCAAGACCCACGTTCTCAGGTTTCTCTTGTGCTAAATACAGAGTCACAGTTGCTAGGGACCGGAAGATTAAATGGGTAAAAAAATCCAAAAAACAAAATAACAACATGGAGCCAACATCTCAATTTGCAGCCAAAGAAATAACAAGATGCTCCCTCCCTCAGGAACACGCCAGAACACGTCTGCAGTGACACCCACAAGAGAACAATGAAAAACAGCTTCCTATAAAACAGGATGTACTATGAAGGTCAGGCACAGGGGAGGGGCAGATGCTGTCCCTGGCTTCCAGGTTGCCCACCTCTCTACAGGATTTGCTATCTGGGTGTTTCGTTTTGTCTTGTGGTTTTGTACTTGGGTCTTTGCACACAGTGGTATTTGCAGCATCCACGCGCACAGCCCGGCCTGGGATCGCCTGCCCCTGAGTCTGAGGGATAGATGGAACCTCTGGCCACCTGGAGAGGGTTTCTCTTGGGTCTTTCCTGGCTTGTGTCTGAGTCTTGGGTGGGGGGAATAAGATGCCTCTGTCTTAGACCAGCTGCCCAGAGCATTTCCCCATTAGGAGAGGCAGTGCTAGGAGCTGCTGGCTGGGTCGTAGGCCATTGTGTGGTGGCACCTGGGTGAGGACAAGGGACTGGCGGCACAGACAGGGAGCTGCACACTGCCCAGGGGTGTCCTGGGGGGAACCACCCATGGCTCCTTCTGCTGCCTGGGAATTTCCTACCTGGCCTCAGGCTAAGTTTGGAGCCCTGGGGGCCTTCATTTAAATCCTGCCTAAAGGTCTGGCACATCAACTGGCTTCTCTGGGCCTCAGTCTCCTCTTGTGCAAAGAGGAATCTCAATTTCTAGCTCACGGAGGGCTGCTGGGAGGAAGAAGTCCCCATGCAGGGCCAGGGTAAACAGGTGCCTGCCTCTCCTACCTGAGGCCACAGCTCAGGGTCCAACTGGCCCATGAGGTCAGTCAGAGGGCGATGGTGCAGCTCACCTCATCCCTGAGCAGTGGGGCTGGGCGTTTCCTTTTTCATAGAGGCTTATCTTTGGTTGTCAGGAAGAACCTTGAGACCTACTTGGATTCAGCCCTGGTCCCACACTCGCCCCTCACTGCACATACCTTGGAGAACCTGCAGCTCAGCCAACTCAAGAAAGTCCGTTTTCATTCCTGACTCGTGGTGCCAAAGTCCCTTCCCTGCTGTGGGCCTCAGTTTTCCCTTTAAGATGAGGGCTTTGGATGAGGGGCTGTTTAGGTCTTTCCCTCACTGACAGCTGGGGACTCTGTACTGTGGTGACTAACACGCCGATCTCAATGAAGCATCTCCCTGGCTGAGATTCACCCATTCCATCTTACTAAAAATGCTTTAAACACCTCCCTCGCTTCCTTTCCAGATTTGGCTGGCTGGGCTATGTTCAGGCATCAGAATTTCTGACCCATCCCAAGCAGAGAACAGGCAGAGGACTTTGCCCATTCTCCAGACACAGGTGGACCAGAGTCACGGGCTCTAATGAAAAGTTTCATTTATATGGAGACATGAAAGTCAAGCATCGTTACACATTGTATGCACAGAGCCAAGTTCTGCAGAGACACAAGAGCCCCAGGGGCTGGGCAAGAGGGATCAGAACTGGAGACAGGTGACTCAGGAGATTGTCGAGGAATGGGCTTGGGGAAGGTGGCCGACCTTCCTTCCAGGTGGGGTTTAGGGACTTGGTCTGCATGTGTCTTTGGTCTAGAATTTGGTCTGGGAATCTTATAAGAAGAGGCTTCCTCAGGCCATTTCCAAAATGCTGCTATTTGTCTACCAACCCGAAATACTGTAACGGGGTATGAGCCCTGGAGAGGAGATGGAGACAGAAATGACCACAAATGCCCAGGTAGCCACTGCTTGCCAAGCCCCCTCTTCCCCGCATGTCACCTGTCCCCAGTCATTGACTGTGGTTAGTTTACTACAGTTACATAAGACAAGGAAAACAGGTCACATTGCTACCCATTAAAAATAGGGAAAAAACAGTAAAATCAAATCAGACACAACAGGGACCATAAACACATAGAAAAATAGGAACACATTGTTGATGGTTTGGAATAGGACTGGGTGTTGTTTGGCAGAGTATATAGCTTTGGACACAGTGAAAGGTGTACACTTGCCAAAGACAAAAGGTTCAGAATTGTCTTTAGGGAGGGGGGACACCAGAGGCTCCTCCCGCTCCCAAATGTGGGGAGGGGGTTTCCAGGATCCCGAGAGCCCCTGCTCTGGAAGCCCACGCCGGCCTCCACTCCGCACCGAGGCAGCCACTGCCTGTGTGTGTGACAATGTTTCGGTTTACTTTAGACTCTGAACTTGGAAGTGACTGTTCAAATGGCACAGTTTAGGTCCAAGTGGGTGGATCTTAAAGGTGCAGCCCCTTCTCTCCTGGTTCAGAGAGGAACTCTGCTCTGTGTAAGGACACGCCAGTGCTGAGGTCCCAGACCCCTGGACAATCCCAACCTCCTTGAAAATTCTCCTTTGCCTTCTCTGCTCGGTCCCCACATGGTGAAATGTCTGACACCAGTTACTGCAGGGGGTTTGAAATGAGGAACTTTGTTAGATCCCAAGTCACTGACAAGGGCTGCCCTTATGCCTGCACTGGGAGAATTTGGGGAGCATTTCACGTGACTCAAAGATCCAACCTCAAAAGCTGCTCTTGGCACTCCTTGCTAGAGCCCGGGTGGCCCTGGGCTGGCCTCTCTGACGAGAGCTCGGCAGGAGTCTCCCCACCTCTGGGAGAAGAGGACAGAGCTGGAGGTAGGGAGGTAAGGAGAGAAAAGCGCCCCTCCCCAGGACCCGCATCCTTCAGTCTACTCCCTTCCCTGCCTCACCTCTTGTCCCTCCTGCAGGCAGTTTCCAGAGGTGTTGGAGATGCTGTGTGGGGCAGGACCACAACCCTCCATGACCCCACTCCAACGCAAAAGACCCATCCCGTGTGAAGTTCTGAGCCCCGAGACCCCAGCTCCTGCGGGGCTGGATGCAGGTCTCTGCCTGGAATGTCCCAGGAAAGACTGTGGCCTCCCCTGTCTCAACCCCCCCTTGCAAGGCCGAGTAGTGAGCCTCCTGGGGGCACCCAAACCCGAGCCCCCTCCTGCCAGCCCTCTCAGACCAATGGTTCTGACAGTCCTACTGACGATCCACCTTCGATCTCAAAATAAAAGGGTGGGATTTTGCTCCTGCTGCACCAGTTTCTACTACCCTTAGAATCAAGTGTGTGCTGTAGGCTTCATCTTTTGGTGTTACTCAGTCCCTTTTATTTGCGGGGTGGTTCATTGTTTTGGCATCTCTCTTCTTGGCTAAGACACGCAGAATGAGGTGTCTCCTCATGGCCCTTGTTTCTCCTGCCCCACTGGCTCGGGAGGGTGGGCCTCTCCCTGTGGTTTTCTTCCTCCTGAACCAGGCTTTGGAAGGTACTACGCTTTAAGATGGATCTGCTGTCCCGAGAAAATTCCACCCTGTGTTTCTTGGGCAGAACTTTTACCAGCTACACAAGCACCAAAGAATTGCTTTTGAAAATGAGATCTATTGCTGGCAAGAAGATCAATTCAAGTGGTAAAATGTATGACAATCTCTAAGTGTATATATAGTTATGTGTAAAAAACAAAAAAATACAAAGAAAAATTTACCAAGTTCCCATAAAATACATGTAATTCAGTATGAAAGCTCTGCCTCTCCCTGGACAACTGCCCGTGGGTTTTCTTTTTATATAAAATACCCCCAAATCAAAACAAAATACACACACGCACAATACACACACACATACAAGGGAACATTTTCTGTGACAATTAAAAAAAAAAATCCTAGTGCAAATATAAAGCTCTGTAAACCTGGTCCTATGAGAATCTAATGTTAGTAAACAGNGCTTTTGAAAATGAGATCTATTGCTGGCAAGAAGATCAATTCAAGTGGTAAAATGTATGACAATCTCTAAGTGTATATATAGTTATGTGTAAAAAACAAAAAAATACAAAGAAAAATTTACCAAGTTCCCATAAAATACATGTAATTCAGTATGAAAGCTCTGCCTCTCCCTGGACAACTGCCCGTGGGTTTTCTTTTTATATAAAATACCCCCAAATCAAAACAAAATACACACACGCACAATACACACACATACAAGGGAACATTTTCTGTGACAATTAAAAAAAAAAAACCTAGTGCAAATATAAAGCTCTGTAAACCTGGTCCTATGAGAATCTAATGTTAGTAAACAGCAGGAAAGCAGTCGGCCCGTGGACCCGAGAGAGCTCACATCATGGTCTCCACGACGATGTGGGTGGGTTTCATGAGAGCGCCGTTCATGACTGTGCGAGACTGGTAGGGTGTGGCCCCCTCCCGCTCCACAGCCCAGCGGTTGGGTTCCCTTGGGGTGAGCAGATACTTGACTCTCTGGAGAAGGAAGAGGACAGGAGTGGCGAGGGAAATCAGGCGACCTGGTTCACCAGGCCATCTGTCTTCCTCCTGAACCTGCTAATGTGCTGTTTCTTCTTTGGCAAACTACCACCCTCTCCGAACCTCCCGTTTTTTGTCCTTTTTGGAAATAAAGGAGTTGAACTAAGGTGCTTTTACAGTCCTGCTAGACCCTGACTCTGGGCAGGACTCACAATCTCCACGCACTGACTTCTTTCCCCTAAGGAGCTGAAATATGCAATCCTGTGATTCCCTCCCTCTGATTTCTGACTTGCAAAGCAGCCAAGTTTCTGCAATTTATATGCCCTAGGTTGGATAACTGTATTAAATCTCCCATGGCTCCCACCTTCCTCAAGGAGAAACTCCAAACTCCTGAGCCTCCCACAAGCTGCATTTCCTGCCTTTTCGCAGACAGATCTCCCCTAGTTCCCCGTAGGCATCTAGTTCTTCCCACAGGGCTTGTGTCTTAAGGGCTTGGAGACAACTGCTTGCATTGGAGCAGCACCTTCCAAGAGAGGAGCCAGAGGCCAGGCTGCATGAGAATTCTCAGATCACTTCTGGGTCTGGTGAGTTTGTCTTCCCAGCTGGTTGCCTGATCTTGGAATCACTGAGGGAAAGAACCCTCTCCAAGGACACCCAGAAAATCAATGGCGGAACCGGGACTTGGACTCAGGGCTCCTGCCTTGCAGCCTGCCTCCTGCCAAGTGTCCACTCGGAGACTTAAGAGGGCCAGCAGTTGAAAAGAAAAAATAGCCTTCTTTCTAGGCATTTACATTCGATTTGGGTACATTACAGATTTTTTAAAAGCTGCCTATTAAAAGCTATAATGTTTCATTAAAAAACCCAGTTTTCCATTTTCCCTTGAAAAGTGGCAAGATCTGGCAACTCCAGGCCCATGTCCACTCCTGGTGATAAGTGGCCAGGGTTCAGGGCGTGGGCAGCCTGCTGTGGACGCAGCATGCCTTCTGTGGCTTGCTCCTGGCCTGGCCCACACGGCCTGCCTGGTCCCCTTTCACCACTCTGCTTCTCTGGGCATCTGGGCAATAGGCCATGCAAAATGGAAGCGGGACAGAGGCAGAGGCCAAGGCCAAGAGGCAGACACCCGGGGCTCTGTCTCTCCAGGGTCTTGGCCTCAACTGGAATACTCCAGGCATAGAGATCTAGGGTGGCCAGAACCTCGCTCAGAGACAGGGTTATGGCTGGGAGGACACCTTGGCAACCCAGGCATGTGGAAGCCCCTGAGGGGCACACGGGGCAACAAAAACAGGTGGTGGGTCAACTTCCTTCAGAGGAGGCAGCTTTGGTTAAGCCAGGCTGACAGATACGGAGAGGGTGAGAGTGTAGGGTGAACCCACCCTCCGCCAGTCCCCCTCCCCCCACCCCTCTCCCCATGCTAACCCCACTCTCACCAAACCTCTAAACTTGGGCTGGACCAATGTGTCAAAATTAGGTTTCGAAGGGACACTAAGTTAGTGACCCATTAGGTGTCCCCGCAACCAGTGATATGTAATTGCCGAGACACTGACCAATCAGAACAGACCTCTAGACACCCCCCTGCTGTGCCTCAATTTAACCTTTTAGTTTCTGGGTGGCAAAGACATTCTGGAAATTCGGGGACAATGGGTTGGCATGGGATATTTAGGGGGTCACCTAGAAGGCTCAGGGCAGTAGCTATTACCCATCCGTCCTCAGGCTCGATATTTTAGTATTTTAACGACTGATAGGGCCATTCAGTATTCTGGCTGAATACTGAGGTCCTGCCCTGTGTCCTGTGAAAAAATATAATACTCCAGGAATACCCCAGGGGCCTTGCTCAGACAGACCCCAGCTTCCAGTTTTCCTCCCTGCCTATTTCCTGTCTCCCCTTCCCCGCTCCCCCTACCAACACCACCTCCAGGCCAGTCCCCTGCCCAGGAGGAAACGCAACCCAGCCCAAGGGGGAGCCAGGGCCCCAGGACATCCTGGCTCCAGATTTTAAAAGGAGAATAACAATAAAATAGCCCAGAACAAAACAGTGCAGTCTTGGAGGTGGCCCAAGCCTAAAGGTTAAGAGAGATTCTAAGAAAAAAATTTCTTGGAAAGAGCCCTGGCCCTTGCCAGGGCTTGGAATCGCTCATATCGTTAGAAGAATCTCTGAGAGGAGGCGGGGTGTGGAGGGCCCGTGGGGCAGCAGCCCACAGTCACTGGGGCTGGGGACCGGCTCTGCATGCTGGGCTCGTCCCGGACTTGGCACAGACTGAGGGAAGGCGTGCAGGTGGAGCTCAGCCTGCCTCCCAGGCTCCCACCTCCTGTGTCACCGCTGCAGAAACCAGACCACTGCTCCTGGGATAAAGCCCCAGCTCTTAGCTTGTCATCCAAAGCCACTGTCACCTCTCTAGCCTCATCGCTCTTTCCTCTGCCCCATACCGGGACCACCTTTCCTCTCACACTCCCTACTTGGCTAATTCCTTCTCGGCCCACAGGCCTGTTTTGACTGTCACCACAAAGCCTTCTCCCACGTGAAATGTACTTTGTTCCTGTTTTTCCACAATCTCAACCCTCCATCAGGCCTGTAAAGGGTCTAGGACTCAGAGAGGGCAAGTAACTTGCCCAAGGTCACACAGCAAACCAATGGCCGGCCTTGGCCTACCCCAACCTCAGGGCTGCAAGCTCACCACCAGGAGTGGTCCCTCCGTCTGGCAGAGGCGGATGACGATGACCAAGGGGATGCAGATCATGGAGGACAGGGCCAGACTCCAGCCCAGCCCGATGGCCCAGGTGGGATACACATAGACTTTGTTGTAGGTCAGGGGGACATACTTGACAAGAGAGAAGATAAAACATCCCTGCAGAGAGACAGAAGCAGTCAGGGGGCTGGTCCTGGACACCAAAGGGTGGGGGGCTTCTGGGACCAGGGCAGGCCCCAACCGGAAGGGAGAGTGTCTCTCCTTGGAGGGGCTGGCTTATGCCTCCTACCCTCCTCTGCGGCCAAAGGATCTCCCCCCAGGGCAAATCTGGCTGAGTTGATTCCCTGTTCAAAATCCTTCTGTGGCTCCCCAGTGCCTCCATCCCCCCGCCTCCTCCTCCATGTCTGCACTCCAGCCACCCTGAAGTCTTGCCCGCTGGTCAGCCACTTACCTCAGGGCCTTCATACAGGCTGTCCCCTCGGCCTGGCCCTCTTTTCCCCTGCCTTCTCCTCATCCTACTCCAGCTCTGATGGCCCTGGCTTACTTGCCCAGGCCCCACCCGGACTTTTCCTCCCAGAGCACATGGCTATAAGCATCTCTGCAGCAGTCATCTCCCCGCTAGAGCCTGAGTCTGATGGCAGGCCCCCATGTCTGTCTTTAACACACGTGTCTTTCATACCTGGTGCAGGTAAATCCTAGTGGCATGGATGAAAGCCTTCCTTCCCCTCCCTCACTGCCACCCACCCCTCTCCATCCCTGAGCCATGGGCAGTGGTGCGAGCCCCAGGCTGTCTTTAACACACGTGTCTTTCATACCTGGTGCAGGTAAATCCTAGTGGCATGGATGAAAGCTTTCCTTCCCCTCCCTCACTGCCACCCACCCCTCTCCATCCCTGAGCCATGGGCAGTGGTGCGAGCCCCAGGCCCAGCCCCCAGGACAGGGTGTGGACCTGGGGCTTGTCCTGAGCAGCGAGCACTGCCCGGCCCTGAGCCCATGCTACCTGCCTGTGGCCATCAGCGTCCATGCATGGCAGGGAGGTCAGTCCTGAGCCTTGAAGCCCGTGCAAAATCCACCTTCCCCTCTGAGAAGAGCACTGAGGGCTGGCTGGGGGCCCAGGGTATCTGCTTCTGGAGAAAATTAGAGCCCGGGTTGTCTTGAATTTACCCACAAAGTGACCGTCTCCACTCTGACCCTCAGTTTCCTTCTCTCTCCCTCCCTGAGGCACTGGACAGATCAGAGACAGGCTACATTCCAGGGAGGTAGGATGACGTCACCCTCCTGGAGCAGGACAGTGGTGTGGGCGGGTCCTGGTTGGAGCTTCCTCAGGCTTGGGAGAGCCCAGAGCAGCCCTCACCTGGGACTCACCCCGTCTGCCACCGCCCCACACATAAGGGCCCAGCAGCAAAGGCAGGGCCAGGCATAAGTAGGTGCCTCCCGTCCCTGTCACTGGTTCTGTTTTAAATAGATTCGTCTTCCTGTCAAACCGCAGTGACCCCAGCCAGCCTCAGCTGCTCTTCTCAGGGGAAAAGGAGGACTCTGCCCAGGCTTCGAGACTCAGGGCTGACCCCACCCCACCACTCATGGACGTTGATGGCCACGGGCCATTAGCATGGGCTCAAAAACCAGGCAAATGTTAAGTGAGGATGAGAACGCAGGCTTGAGCCAACCAAATTCACCTCCAGCGATAAACTTGCCAATTGTGGTTCCTAGCTGCTCTGGTTACTTTTTTTCTGTGGGGGAAAATATTCACCTTGGAAGAAAAGGCCATAATCATTAAATAATAATGGTAACAGTCTAAAGTTGTCAGCTGCCACGAGTCGCACTTCAGAGTCTCCTCATTTTACAAGTGGAGAAACTGAGGCCCAGAGAGGAAAGTAACTTGCGTGAGGTCACACAGTGAGTTAACAGCGACGTTGACTTAGTCTGGCTGACAATGGCTCGGCAGGTGCTGTCTCCCCAGCAATAAGCTCAAAAGCGCATGACTGGTTTCAAACTCCGACGGGTAAGCAGCTTTTGCTGCCCAGGAATTCCCATCTGCCACGCTTCGGAGTGGAACCTGGAGGCGGAGCACGTGGGCATGTGCCAAGGCCAGGTCTGAGGCAGCGGGAGAGAAGCCTCGTGGGCGGAGCAGTGAGCCACTCCACTGCCCTGGGGGCCTTGTCCTTGGGAGCCCAGAGCATCTCTCTGCTGGAACCTGTCCTCTAAGCCACTACCCCACCCTGCCATGGAAGCGCCACATTTCCAATGTCTATGACCTCTCCACTCGACATCCCAGAGGCTCCCTAACTTAACCAGTGAACCCCACTGAGCCGACAAGCCCTAGAAGGGATGGGAAAAGGTTGTGCTCTCCATGGTTGGACTTTTTGACATGCCTCAGACACCGTCCCCCCCGCCTTTGCGTAGGCTGGTTCCTCTGCCAGGAGTGCCCTTCCTGTTTTCTTTTCCTGACAAGCTCCTACTCATCCTTCAAAACCCAATGCAAGGTAACCTTCTGGAGCAGCCTGCTCTCCCTCCTCACCCCAAGCAGAGATGAACCTGGGTTTACTGCAGCCTGCCCTTAGCAGATGCCGAATGAAAGATGGTTTGGCAGGTGAAAAAGTCGAGCCCCAGGGAGAAAAGGCTACTACCCAGCGCCAGGGCAGGAGAGAACTTACAACACAGAGAATTGGAGTGACCACAGCCCAGCTGCACTTCATCCAGGGCCCGGGCCTATAGCCGATCATGTCCTCGATACCATCATAAAAGCTATCACCGCCTGCAAGGGACAGAGTTGGACATGTGGTGACACAGTGTCCAAGGCCAGCATCAGCCCTGGGAATGACACAGCAGGGGCTCAAAGGCCATGAGGGGGTCTCTGGGACCTGATCCAGGCCTTTGTATCTCCACATCATATAGATCCAACTGTGGCAGACATTCATCTGAAATTATCTGAAATTCAAATGTAATTGCACATCTTGAATTTTTCTGGCAACCTTAGGCAGACCCCAGATCCTAGTGTGGCCAATCCAAGGTCTGAAGGAGGGGAAAACGGACCACTCCTAGAACCCAGAGTAGGTAATCATAGGTGACCCTGCAAAACCAACTCTGTGTTTGTCAGAACATACAGCCACACCTTGCACTGTCAGCACAGGGAGAATCTAGACAGTGGCTGCCATGATATTTTTTGTGTAGTCTGGGTAGAGAGGGCCTTTCTGTTCAACTCAGAATGAATTCCCATTAGAATTCTCTGCTTTTGAAGCTTTTAAGTATAGAGGCCCAAAGGAGAAATTTGAAAAAGGATATGCAAAAGACTATACTCACCATATATCCAGGCAATAACAAAACATTCAAAGAATGCAACCCACAAAAGGCATACACCGCTAGCTGCATAGTAGTCAAAGAGCTGAAACACATACATGCCACCCTGTGAAGGAAAAAGCCACAGAGAAGGTTGATTTGTTATTTGGTCCCTAATCCCCTTCATATACAAAGAGCTCTGGCATATCAATTAGAAATAAAACACCCAAGAGAAAAATTATCAAAGCCTATGATGACCAGATAAATGTATAAAAAGATGCTCAACTTCATGTTTGACAAATTTAATTAAAAACATACACAGACAGAAAAATGAAAGCAAAACAACACGTCTTAGCAAAATGACAGGTCTGCTGAGGGCTGCTTCCAAAGAGGTGCTTTGAAGCTAGTGTGGCCGACACAGGAGCCTCCAGTGATACCTAGCAGCTCAGTGTGAGGACCTGTGATCTGACTCTCAGGAAAGTTTTCTCACAGACACCTCCAGAAAGACATTTTTACTTCTGGTAAGCAAGAGGAGTGAAGTGAAGCCTTGAGATTAGGTTTGGGGGTGATCATTAAATGTGACCCTTTCCTGGAGAGAACGTGGGGAGGGGTGCAGGAGAAAGCATACCTGGGCCTGATACTAGGCTTCCATTTTCCTCCTAGTACAATTACCTTTCTTTTTTCTGGCTTGTTTTGGGGCTCTGCCCAGCAAGGCCACCTTCCGCTCCTTGGAGCCAGACCTTGTACCGTGTGGCAAGCCGTGGTGGTCTGCACCTGTGCATTTTTCTTAGGCTGTTCCTGTCCCCAGAATGCCTTTCCCTAATCATCTAAGATCAGCTGGAGAACGACCGCTTCTCTGAAGCCAGTGCTGACCCTCCACCCTGCCCGATCGTGGCGCCTATGTGCTGCCGTGACAACACCTTCCCCAATCCCCTCCCCCCCCCGCCCTGTGT